TTCCTTTAAGATTGACTGGTTTGACCTCCTAGCAGTCCAGGGGACTCTTAAGAGTGATTTAATAAATCTCAGGCCCAATAAATAATTTATATTATTGGGCCACTGCATACTGAAAAAAGGGGGTTACATAACAGGGCCCTCTTTAGAATAAATCAATCCTGCACATAGGGATTTTCTTTATCTCTGTATCATGGAGAAAACTAAACTAGAATGTTTTTTTCTTGGGAAGAGTATTTGGTCTTGTGAGAAATCACATAAAATCTGAACTGACTTCAGCTCCCTTCACTGGCTGTTTTATGATACACCCAGGGGTCTTAGATAACATGGCTGGTAGGAAAGTATCCTGCTATAGGATATATTTGCTAAGTTTATATTTTTCAGGGTATTTTTTTTTTCATTCAGTTACTTTGAAATTAAACACATGCTCTAACTGCCTATTTTCTGCTTTTTTCCTCGAAGTCTTTATTAGTCCACAGAAAAATCACTGATTTTTAAAAATTGCATTGCTTTCCACCATTCCCAACTTTGAAGTTCATACTTCAAATTGAGCCACACTTTTTACCGTGGTTTCTTCAATAAGCCACAACTGCCCCGATTCACACATCATGCTGTCTTAAAAAATGCTTCACAAACCTGGCCCCAACTGGTCAAGTCCATATAACGTACCAAGCTAAAATCAGATGAACTACACTGTAAGTTGGCAGAATGAATGTGCCTAATTATTGCAGAATGTGGTTGAGCTGCAGTAATTATATGACAGAAAATCCAAGATATCTGTGGCACAAAATTTGATTTGCTTTTTTAAATAACTGCACTGTATAGTAGGGATTATATACTATATGTCTGCTCAGCTTGCTGTTATATTTAAGAATGTTCTTGTTGTATTTTGTGAAATATTGAAGATATGAACATGGTACTGGTTATAACTTTTTTTTAAAGCAAAAAAGTAGTTACATTTCTGACAAATGTAAAGAGATATAGAAAAATAATTAGAGAGGTTATCAGTTTGCTTGGCTTTATTTATCCATAACTTATAACGAATAAACTCTGAATCAACTTTCCTTTTAAAATATTTTGTATTTATTGTTATAGTATATAAAAAGAAAGGAAAACCATAATATACAGGACAGTATGTAAAAAACAGAAAACAAAATAAAAAAGAGAAAAAGTTCGTTTTCTTCTTCTTAATCCAAGTAATGTTATTTAAGTGACAGAAATCAACATGTTTCACTCCTCTTTAGATTATATGATTAAGTAAAACATAGAAAATGCATTTATTCAAGGAACAAACATCTTGTATTTACATTTCATGGTATTTAAAAATGTAAAGTAACAAATATGTGGTGCAACTTATCATATCATGAGCATCTCCTTAACCAAGCTTTGTGGTTTACTTTATCACCCAAATCCATGATGACAAACATGTTGCATTTCGAGAAAACAGACCCCCCACCCAGTAGTGTCTCATAAAAACAGGAAGCCCCAAAGTTTGGTTAAAGAGCAATATATAATGAGAGTGGGTGTAAAATGGCATCTTACTGGTGCTTTTTAATGAGCTTTTTCTTAATGTATTGCACAAACACAGTTGAAAGGTGGACTTGACAATCGGCAAATTAGGCAAACTAAATCCAAGATTTGTACGACTGTGCAATATTAGTCTTAGGAGCTGCTTCTCACTGGGTCAGAGGAATAGGGCAGTCTGCTTAGTCTATAATGTAAGTTGCAATGGAAAAAAGAGCAGCAATTGCTGTTATCCACTGTTCCTCTCTTTGGAACAGTTCAAGTGAATAAAATAAAGAGCTAAGTTTAAAATTACTTGTATTAAACATCACTTTATATAAAAATACGAGCCTAGTGCAAAGTTATAGAACGAATGGATTTCTAGATATTGCTGAACAACTCCTAGCACCATCAGTTAACATTAAGTAATGTAAGTATTCTAATTTAGCAAAATCTGGAGCTA